TACTGACTTTCATGGTACATGATCCATATCTAGTTCTCTCTTTCTCCTCTCGTTAAAGATAGACTAACTTATTTTGTTGGCCTATAATTAATTAATCATTCATCTAATTAGAATTTATATATTATATTCTTTAAATTTGAAAGTCAAATATGAGATTATGATTTTTTTTTTCGCTGCTTGAAATAGGACTTCATTGATAATGTATAATCTTTACAATTATGGATCCCTCTAGTTCTTTGTATAAGGAGGATTTTTAACAAATTTTCTTAGTACAAATTATAAGATATTCTGCAAAAGTATTTAGTGATCTTTCATTTGTGTTTCTCAAAGTTTTAATAGTGATCTCATGGATTGTCAAAGGAGGTTATACTTTCATGCCATGATTGTATACGAGATTGAAGGGTTGGAATTGAAATTATCATTAGGCAATATCAACTTTTTTTATATATTTGGACATTTTAAGCTCAATCTAAATAAGATTGACTTAAATTGAGTTTGGTTTGTCTGAGTTATCAACTTTATTCTTAAAAATTTTCTAACCAAACTATACTTCACTCCATCCCTCTCGTGTCCCTCCCATGCTGTGCTTTCATCACCCTCTTTCCTTGTTAGTGATGTCTTTGCTGATGAAGCCATCGTTTATTTAAATTTTTGTTTGATCTAAGTCCTATGACTTCTTGTAAATGCAATGACATACCATACCATTTTAAATTTTATTCTCACTCTCAATTTCTTGTACAATCCCATTTTCAATACTTTAAAATTTAATGCTTCATATGAATCGGACCCTAGATCTATCTTTGCATATTTTTTTATTATAGCTTCTACTGTGTAATACTCTCTCCATCTCAAATTATAAGACACTTTTAAATAAAATTTTACATATCAATAAAACTCATTAAATACACTTTATAACCTTATTTTTTCAAAATAAAAATATAAACTTTCAAAAATATCTTTCAATTAATATTCTATTGATGAAAGAATATTTAAGAGAGGAAATATATGGAAAGGATAATATTAAAAAAATATCATCAATGAAACCTTATTTTTATCAAAGTGTTTTATATTTTGAGACGTAAAATCTTTTTTAAAAATATTTTATAATTTAAAATAAAGGGAATATCATTTTTTAAGATGCCTAAAAGTATTGGAAGTACGTTAGATAATATAAGATGTATATATATATATATGTATATATATATATTATTTGACAATCAAGAAGGGAATGATAAAGTTAATAATTAGCTGTCCAGTAATTATTCTTGTGAATATTGGTAATTTGGGACAAAAGAAAAAGAATAAAGAAAGCTAACAAGACATGCACTCTTTTTTAAATCTTGTATATAAATTACTTTTAGTATATTTTATTGGAATAAAAAAACATTAAACTTCATGAACCGTCTTCAAATTTAATAACTTTTCACTTCTACCCTTCATAAGTTCACAAAAAAAAAATTTATAATTTTTCTTAGCATTTAATAAAGTAATAGAAAGGTAAAGATAAATGCAAAAAATAATGAAGTGCCATATAAATAGGATTAAAATTAATTTTCTCTTTCTGTCATATAAATAAGAGCAGAGGAGTATGAGCAAATTTAATGTATAGATATGGAATTCAATTCCCTTTCTATACATCAATATATGACATTGATGACTATTTTATGATTTTTAAAAGGTAAAAATTTAATCTCTCAAAAAAATTATACATCTTTTTAGCTATACATTGGTTGAATATTTTATATAAGGATCTTAATAATGACATAATAAATGACGTAGCTGAAAAATTAATTATAAAAATTACTTAATATCTTATATTTTGAATCAAATACAAGTATTAAAAAATATTTTATATTATAATCTGGATATAGTATTTTAAAAATAAAATAACTTGTAGTGGGAGACCTTGGAACATGCTGCAGGGACCCGTCTTTTACACTTATTGAGTTACTGATTCTTAATCCGGTAGAATAAGGTTGCCGCAATTTGAAAGCGTTGAAAACAAGAGTAATTAATTAATTAATGTTTTGTTCAATTGAAATTACTTTTTGGGTTTAATAAATTAAAGGCTTGCACATGTTCATAAACTATTCAAAGGCTTCAACGAGCATTTGCAGGGAGTCTGTCCAACATGTATTTATATTGATATTAATATTAATATTAATAATTCAAATATAATTTATTTAATAAGATGTTTTTTTGAGCAAAATTTATTTAATAAGATATTGACCAACCACAATGTAATATTTGTCGGGATATATATATATATATATATATATATTAAAGTCATTGTAAGAATATAATACTACTACATCCTATATTATATGAGTCACTTCTAACTAACTTATTAAAATTAGAGAGATATAGTTAAATTATGGATATTGTCTTAAAAATAAAAGAAATCTCTCAATTAATCCTCATTAAATGCATTATCTTTAAAAATATTTTTTCTTTCATGTAACTTTTTACTCTTCACTACTCACCAAAAATTATGAAAAGGTAAAATTGAAAAAAAAATTAATGATTCGCCTCTTAATGCAAAATGACTTATAAAATAAAATCACAGATTTATTCTAGATTGTGACTTACCCCCTCCATTCCTATATATAGACTTTTTTAAAAGTTTATTTTGTTTTTAAATATAAAAGATGCCATAATATATTTAAGTAATTAGATATTTTTGCTTTTATCTTGAAAAGAGGATGAGATATTAATAGCGTGCTTTATTACATACCACCACAATACATTACTTGTGACATTATTAGGAATAAAATTGAAATTAAATAATAACTTTTTATTGTTATGCGAAGCGATTAGAAATACTTCATATATAATAAGGGAGGGAGCATACAGGATGAAGGAAATAAATTTTAGAAAGCGCCCTAATGTTATGTTTGGTGCTTGAGAAAAGCATATTGGGTTTTACACGAAAAACACCATTCTGAAACGAAATCCTTGTTGTTTTAATTTATATGTTGTCATTCCAAATAAACAACTAAACCAAAAAGAAAAAGGAACGAAGGTCAAAATTTGGTGAGGACATAACGTACTTGAATTTGACAATGCCAATCTTGCTTACACATGAAACATTTTAGAAGGAAATCTTATCCCACGATGTCGGTGCCATTTACTTGTTCAAAAGCATATAAGATATTGAAAATCGGATTGATGATTGAATATATTAAAACAGTAATTTAAAAGTTGATAACTAAAACTATAATTATCAAACAGGTGATAGAACAAAACATTTTATTTAAACTGCTCAAAACATCCGTAACAGTTTATTAATTCAACTTGTCGGGTCGTGACAAGTGTTCCTGAATCCTGACTTAAATTTGCTCGTCTTTGATAAATAAATCCTTACATATATATTAATCAAGTGAGGACTCTGTTGGGCTGCACGGCCCATTATTGAATGAGAGCCCATAACCTCAAACAGTTGGCTATGGTTTGTATTATAGTGACTAAAATATCCCAATCTAACCAGTTATACGACCCAATTCTCATAATTAAATTTGATTGATAAACCCATTTTTTAATTACTTTATAGTTTATATGAGTGTTTAATTGATAGAATCGGTTTATATTTAAATTTGTTTAGCATTAATTTGCTAAACACAAATAACTTTAATATCTTGAATTCAACGCATGCCATGTAGCTTGATTTGATAACTCCTCTTCTCTGAAAGACTAATAATGAACTTCGAATGTCATTGCATTTGGAGATAACATCAATTCAGTTGCTCAATTAATTTCTTTTATTGATCCGGATGTGAAAATTTAGGAACAACTTTTAAACTAAAAAATGAAATTAATATAAAATTTAAAAAGCGTAGCAAACCTTACTCTTCACAAGTTGTCAGAGTACTGTAACTTATTTTAAGTTCCATGCAAATACATTTGACTTTGATTCTAAAAGTCTAAACTGATCTCTTTGTGAACATTATAAGACATATTTCATTTTATTTTATTAAGTTATTGATTAGATAGTTTAGGTTTAAAAATCTAGTGGCATTTGTCAAATGACTTTGTCTCGTTGTATCGTTGATTAGCTTATGAATGCACTTTTTTAATAAAAAAAATAAAAAATCTAGTGGCATTTGGCTCAACAGATTGTGGGAGTTTAATCAACTTCTTCTGTAGTCTAAAGTTTGAGTCCTCACATATGCAGTCACATTAAATTAATGTATCAAAAAAATCATCAAAATACTCGTGGATTTGTCGTTGATAATAATAATTTCATACAGTGAAAGTTTGAATAAAACTGAGTGAGAGGTGATAATACTCTTAAGTTTTATAGGATATATACTAGGTAATGGAATCAAAAAGATCATACTATTTTATTTCTAATTTTAATTGTTTTTAATTTAGATTATCATTTACTCCCTCGGTATGGTATTAATTATATGGCATTTTTCTAAAATATCATTTTAAAATATAAAATATTTTGGGTCTTTCAAAATATAATTAATAAAAATTTAAAAAAATTATTAATTAGGAGTGTGATTAATAAGGTTTTTTAATTAAGACAACTTATTAAATGAAGGTAAATATAAAAATAATTATATATATAATTATAAATGTCATTAAATAACTTATTAGAAATATAAATTAGTTAAACAGTCAAAGGTTTATATTTATTGTGTTTTTTTCTCCATCTAAAATGAATTTTAAGATTAAAAGAACAATAATAGGAAATGGACCATCCAGATGAAGTTTAATTATAATATAATATTATACCAAGTCTCGGTTACCAAGCACCTCTGTAACCTCCTATAGATTAAATTCAAGCTCTAAATAAAACATACATGGAGTTATAATTTCATAATCTGTGCAACCCCTCTAGTATTAATTAATAATTACTAGTAAAAAAAAAAAAAAACACATACTCATGAACTCATTTCGCTGTGTGTGCATATATTATATATATCATATAGATCTTTAATTGTCTGACTCGAATCTGAGAAATCAAACTAAAAGTTGTCTTCGAGTTATTTGCAATGGAAATCAAAGTGATTTCAAGAGAAACCATCAAACCATCCAAACCCACTCCTCAAGAAAACAAAATGTTCAAGCTCAGCTCCTTCGACGTCCTCTATCCCAATACCTACTTCCCACTAATCTTATTCTACCCCCAATTCCCAAACCCTAATAATCTCAAGCACTCACTTTCAGAAACCCTAACCATCTTCTACCCTCTTGCCGGCCGAAGACACGACGTCGTTTCCGTCGCCTGCAACGACGAAGGAGCCCTCTATTACGAAGCCACCGTGAACACTTCAATGTCAGACTTTTTGGACCCGCCAAAGCTCGAATCTCTGGACCAGCTACTTCCATGCCAGCCTTGCATGATTCATCCACATGGAGAATCGTTGCCTCAGTTGCAGGTTCAGTTGAACACGTTCGAGTGCGGCGGCGTGGCCATTGGAATGTGTAATCTTCATACGATCATGGACGCTAGCTCGTGCCGTGTGTTGGCGAGAACGTGGTCGGCGATTTGTCGGAACAAAAGAGAGGAGATCGAGTGGCCTGATTTTGATTCTGCGTTCGCCTTGTTCCCTCCCAGAGATATTTCTGCTATACGTGCCGGTCTGATTTCTTCTCCCACAAAGGTCGAAGTCACCACCACCATAAGAAGGTTCGTGACAACATTATGTTAGCTCAAATTTTATAACGTTGTGGATTAACGTTAATTAATAAATAAAAATATGTAATCCAAAAAATTAATCCTCAATTGCTTACAGCTTTTCTCAGCTTTGAATATTATCGTTAAAAGTTAAAATTATTAATGAATGATTAACTTTTTCAAAACAAAAACACTTATAGAAATTTTATAGAAAATTTGATTTAATATTTTTGGTAAAAAAAGAAGGAAATTTTGATTTTAAAACTATGCTTATATATATATATTTATTAATTTTTCATGAAAATTTTACATGTATAAAAAATATTTAGAAAACATAACCTAATTACATAAATTTTAAGTTATAAAAACTATATCTAATCAATTCTAAATTTATATAATCTTTTGATAAATATAAAAGTTTTTAATTTTATTTTTTATAGAAAAATTCAAGAATTTTAACCGTCTGGAATTAATAAATATAATGGATCAAATTATAAGAATTCAATGAAAACAAAATAAACTACAAGGACATAATTCAAAATTGAGAGAAACTATAAGGATTTAAAAATTACTTTTTTCATTCTATTTTAAGTAATTGATCTTGTTTTAATATTAAACCTTCGGTCTTTATTGTATGACAATTTCAATTGTTTCATTCATATTAAAAAGGTTTGTTTTTTTCTTAAAAAATGAAATGTACTTTTATTTTTATTCTTGACTTTAAATCATATAATTAAACTATATATCTTCATGCTAATCAAGAAATAGTAAAATTAAAAAAAATAGCTTAATTAATACAAGGTATTTTATATTTTAGACTAAAATTTACTTCTAGAATGTGATCTACAAGTAGGATAAGAGAGAGTATTTGTAATACGTTGGTTCACACGCAATTCCATTTTGATAGAGACCCCAACCTACAGGCCTTTTAGTGGCAAGCTGTTTCCTATGACAATTTAACTTTAATAAGGGATGATAAAATAATTATAATAATATATAATAATGTTATTGTATTGCAAGAGACACACACGAGAAGTCGAGAACGGTGTTAAACTCAATTGGCCTAAAATCTCTATCTGACAACTCTTTCCCGCTATTCTCCCGTATTCATGAGAAAAAGCTAAAGGATAATTAAGAATCTACTTCTCTTTTTTTTTTTTTTTAAGAGATCAATTAAGGATATGTGAATTTCTCATTAAATGCGTATGTTGTTCATTCACGAGGCTATAATTTTGATACTACGTGCGTATTAATCTTAATATAATTGCATGCATTTCTGAAGATCTGAACTGACGGATATTATATATCTTACAGATTCGTGTTCACCGAGGAAGCCATGAGTAACCTGAGAGTCGAAGCAAAAGAAGATGATGATGATGGAGCTTCAGCGAACCCTACACGTTACCAAGTTCTGTCTTCTTTCATCGCCAAGCACCTGATCCTCGCGCGCAGAAGCAAAGGCATAAGATCAGCCATATTAATGCACATAATGGACGTCAGAAGAAGAAGAGGCGACCCTTTAACCAGTAACTCCATGGGAAACCTGGTATGGCCAGCGATGATACCTTGCGACATAGTCACTTACACGGACAACGACAATAATAATGTTAACCTCAAGGACTTGGTGAAAACCACGAGACAGAAGATAGGAAGCATCAATAAAGACTTGTTCTTGAGGATTCAAATGGACCCTGATTTTCTGCAGAGCGATGAGTTTGGAGAGCTGTTGCTGGAAGGGATAGAGAAGAAGAAGCCAATCGCATTCGTGTTCTCAAGTTGGCTTAATTTGGGTTTCAATGAGTTGGATTTTGGAGCTGGAAAGCCATTGTGGGTAGGTTTTAGAGGGGGAACACAGGAAACAGTTCCTGATAGTGTTATTCTGATTGATACAAGTCAAGGGCTAGAGGCTTGGATCACTATGCCAGAAGAAAATATGGCTGTCTTAGAAGAAGATGAAGAATTTCTCCGATTTGCTTTGCTTAATCCTCCAGTTTCATGTCAGTAGATATATTTATAAGATTTTTAATTTACAATAATAAAGCATGATGTGGTAAGATGCAGACATTATGTTTTAGGGTTTGGGATCTAAGATTATAAAGTTTAAGGTTTATATTTTGAGGATCATATACATGCTTCCTCAAGCGCAGCTTGTTATCGGCTAGCTTTGATTTCGAATAAAATGTTATGTACACTTGCATTAGCTATTTGATTAGATTGATCCAGTTTATTTATTTTCGTTGCTTAAATATTGATCCGGTTTCGCTCTCTATATTTGTATACCATTTTTCCTCTATATACAATGCTGTAGGCGGTTTAATTTATTAATTCGTCAAACACATAATTTTATTTGTTGTTTTTTATTCCAATATAAAATTCACAAGAGATAAGAGCGCCATTGAACTGTCAAGTCACCGATTTCATTGGATATAATTGGATAATCCTACCAAGGTATTAAAAAATCGAATTTGACATTGAATAGGTGGAGGCATAGTTAATGGTTAAAATTATAGTTAAATTATAATCAAACAAAACATCAATATTTTATTGAACTAATTAAGGCATGGATAGTTTATCAATTTGTAATCAATTAAGTTGGCCCAAATTTTAATACTATAAAATATACTTCATCCTTATTTATAAATCCCATTTAGCATATGTTTCACTAAAATTGAGAAATGTTTTAAATTTTATTAACTTTATTTTAAAATTTAATAAATTTTCACCTTTATTTCCAACGAAGATAAAAAAAATATTTTTAATATTTTTTTCTAACATTTAATAAGGAGCAGAAAAATAAAAATAAATATAAAAAATTATTGAAGTGTCTTATAAATAAAATTAAAATTAATATTTTTTCTATCTTATAAATAAAAGTAAAGGAGTGCATTACTTCTCAGGACTTCTCCCTAACTGTTCTTTGAAACTCAATGGGCCGTATGAGCTCTACCCTTAGTATTTTATAACATTAAAATTGTACCCAAAAAAATGTAGAAAGGGCAAATGTCAAGAGCCAATTATTTGCAGGAAAATTTGGTCTTAAGGATAAGCCCATCCTAGCTTAACTTTTATGCTCTGTTTAGTTAGGAAAAAAAAACATGAGAGGAAAAAAACATGGAGAGAAAATAGGAGAGAAAATAAACTTCTCCTTGTTTGGATAGGGGGGAAAAAAATGAGAGGAAGGAAAAAGTGGAAGGAAAATAGAGTGTAGGACCTAGTGTATTTTTTTGCCAACTTTTCTTTTCAAAAGTGAAAAGATTTTGGGAGTAAACTTTTTTTTCCACCATCTACCCTATGTCTCCCTCATTTATTGCATGCTCTGATTCTCAAGAGGCTACTTAATTATATTAATTTAATTTTAATTAAATAGTTTGGTTTATAAATATCAACTTTTATGGTCATGAATTACATTAGTTTAACTATTTAATTAAATAGTTTAGCCATTGGCTGGTTCATGTGTCCAAAATTACATTACTTTAATTTTAATTATTTGATTTTAAAATATAATATAAAAATATATTTCTAACAAATAATTTGATTTTAAATTAATTTGATTATGTTAATTTTAATATAATTTCTGCTTTCAATTTATTTTTATGAATATAATTATATGAAACATGATATATTTTGATATAAAGGCATTATAATCATTATGATATCTGTTTATTTTCTTTCCTTCCTATTTTCTCCTGTCCATCCATACAGGAGGAGTGATAATATTTTCTTTTCAATTTTCTCTTCTCTCCATTTTCTTTTCTCTCATTTACTTTTCTCTCAACTTTTCTTCCCATCCAACCAAAGGGTTAGGTTCTCTTGATGAGTACGAGTTGGAACTAAAAATTAATGAATCCTCTGCTTTGCAAGGGATAAGATTTATGTTATTCATTTTAGATTTTATACCCATACGATATATGGGAACACTAACCCTTAATTTGATTGGAGAAGATAAATGAAAAAGAAAAAGATTTTAATACGTTTGATTTTTTTAAAAAAAAAATTGACATGTGGGGTTAAAAATTAATTAAAAATATTTGACCCACTTCTCAATTTTTTTCAAGCATAAGTAATTATATTTTTTTAACTCCCTGAACATAAATAAATATGACAATAGAAGAATAAATAATTATATTTTTTATTTATCGTACGTGCTTTCAATATTTAAAAAGGTAAACATAAGCATCAATTTTTTTTTATTTTAGAATGTGTTATCCTTAGTTGTACTTGAATATAAGCCAAAATTTATTTTATTCAATAAACAATAACTTGTTTATTTTAGAATGTGTTATCCTTTCTTAAAATATTCTTTCTGTTAAAAAATATAAAATATTTTTAATATTTTAAGGTGTAATTAAATGCTTTTTTAATTTTTTTTTCTAATAAATAAATTATTTTACATTTATTTTAAATTAAAATACCCTATTAAGTGGGTGTAAATATAAAAAGATAATATTAGTTTGAAGATAATTAACTATTTTATATATTGAGGTGTAATTTCGTTAAAAATGACTTTTTTTTTGTAGTGGAGTACTAAATTTATATAGCAACTTGTTATCCTCCCTAAAATCCACATTTGTTTTTAAAGATATTACATTCTTCTTTATTCTCCCTTCTATATTTTAAAAAAAGAAAAAAAAAAACTTCATTTGCTATAATACCCATAACTATCAAATGGCCCAAATCAATGAGACTGCTTATGAGGTCCATTCTCAATCTTCAGCCCCTCACATTGACTCTAGACCCATTATGTTTTTTTTTTTTTGGTCCTATTATTCCTTGAAGTTTTATTTCACTTCATTAAAACTCAATTTTTCAATTATGATTCAAGATAATTTAGTTCTTGAATTTTTAATTCAAATATAACTCAATCTCTAAACCTTCCATCATTTATAATTTTATCCTTATCATCAAGTTGCTTATATGATTCCCAACTCAACTTCAACTGGATTTTGTTTTGGAAAAATTTCATTGAAGACTCCTAAACTAGGGATAGTAAAAAAGAGAACCCTGGAATGTTTAAAATTTTATTGAAAGTCTAGGGTACTGAATTAAAATTAAAATTATTTGAAAAATGATGAGATTATCCCTATTGAAAGAGAAGAAAAAATTTAACAGAAAAAATTGAATTATAAATATGTAAGGCTATAAATAAATAAAATAAAGTAATTAACAACAATCTGAAAGGTAATGAATAATATACAATATGAACACAAATAAGTCATGCTAATATGAAAGTAATACTTAAAATTAATTTAAGTGAAGTATGGTAATAAATAACAATCTAGAAGGTAATGAACCACGTAAGATAGGGACACAAACAAGCCGTCCTAATATGAAAACAATACTTAAAATTAATTCAAATAAAAGTGTTGCAATGAATAATAATCTAAAGGCTAATGAACAATATATAGTAGGAATACGAATAGGTCGTGTTAAATAATTTTAATAGAGACAACCTTATCATTCCTTAGAGTATTTTAATTTTAATTTAGTATTCTAAATTTGCAGTGATGTTTCAGAAGTTTAAGTATTCTTTTTATCATCATCATCATCTTCTCTGGTCTAGGGTCTGTAGTAAAATTTTCTCTTTTATTTTTACGTTTTTTTTTTAATTGCAAATGGTAACTTCTCACTCGATTCTCCAGTCACTCTTCTTTTCTCTCGTTCTACATAATTAAAAAGACAAAAAAAGGATTTATCAACCAAGTGCATAGGCACTGGCCAAAAAAAAAAAGACCAAGTTCATAGGCATTTAATGTAATCACTGGTTAATCTACTATTATTCCACAGTCAACCCATAATCATTTACTATAAGTAAAAATTTTTATCTAATGATCACATCATAATTTTTCCATATGCATATTATGTTTTTGAAAATAATACAAGATCCTTGTAGAATTAAGGAAAAAAACTATGATATAGCAGATAATAATTTAAATCTTCTAAAATTGAAATCTATAAATTTCTTTCAAATTTGTCTTTTTTAAAAAAGGAAAAAATATTTTATATTTTATGTAAAATAATAAAATAAGAAAAATATAATTAAACAAGAACTTCACATAAATTCAAGAACATCAACTTTAGAGCCGCAATTCCATGGAAGACCATACAACCACTGTTCATTCTATAATGGAAAAACATTATCCTTTTATATCTATATATATATATATATATATATATCTTTTTCATTAATAAAATTGTCTTTTTTGGCCCAAAAAAAACTACTTGTAATATTACCAGAATTACCAGAATTATTTTCTTGTATTGTCACCTTAGACACGATTAGACAAGAAATATTCAAAGCCATGCATTCGCATATATCATAATATTAAAATTCAGGTCAACCTGTCCACTCTTTAAACAGGTAATTATTAACCTTGTATCTTAATTGATTTAATAAAATATTTTGTTTATGATTTGTTTGACCATGATTTTGATCATATCTTTGGATTTATATCTTTACTGATCATTTAATGATTGATCCATTCGTAACTGGATTCATATAGACAATGAGCTGACTACCTTATCTTATATTATATATATATATATATATATATATTTATACACGCACTGTTAACTCATATATTTGCACAGCTCATAGATTTCACAGTTTCACTATTAACATTGATAATTTATAAGTTTCATTTACCCAAAAAAAAGTTTCATTTACATTTAAGAATTTATATTTCTTATTGAATTTTTAAAATATACCTATACTATATTCATAAAAAAATTTAGAAAAATATTATATAGAAATTTAAAATATAAACAAATAAAGGACGAGCCACTCATTTAATTTCGGGCTCCAATACTAAAATCAGAAAATATAAATTTGAACTTAAATATATTTTTGCTAGTAAAAAAATAAATCAAATATTTTTATTTCATTAAATTCCTTATAAAGGAAAAACAAATGAAAAGACACTTAACATTGAGAGTTCGAATTTATTCCAATTAAAAAGCACCGCCAATTTAATTTTCGGTGATGACTCTTGAGTGACCAACTTCAAAAGTCATCCGTCTTTGGCTTTCGGCCAACACACACAGAAGTCGTACCTGAAGTTTAGATTTTCAATTATAGCCAATAACATGTCCAAAAAAAAATTAGAAAGAGAAATTAAATTAATGCATGACCACAGAAACAATTTAAATATCTTTTGTGGACCAAAAAGAAACAATTTAAAGATCATCATTGAAAAATATATGGCCAT